CACTGAAAAAGACATAGAATGGCAAAATGAATAAAATATCACCAGGCAACAATACACTGCCTTCAAGAGACCCATCTCACTAGAAAGGACATGCACAGACTCAAAGTAAGAGAATGGGAAACAAATTTTCAGACAAATGGAACACAAAAGAAAGGAGGAGTCATAATCCTAATTTCAGACAAAATACCATTTAGGCTATCAAAAATTAAAAAAGATACAGAGGGCCAATACATAATGAAAAAAGGTTCACTCCATTAGCAAGAAATATCTATCATAAACATATATGCAACTAACATAGGTGTACCAACTTTTATAAAGCAACTTCTAGGAAAACTAAAGAAGGATATTGACTCTAACACCATCATGACTGGGGACTTTAATACCCCATTCACAACCCTAGACAGATCATCAGGACAAAAAAATCAACAATGAGATCAGGAACGTCAATGTGACTCTTGACCAAATGGACTTAATTGATACCTACATAACACTCCACCCAAAGACCACAGAATACACATTCTACTCATCACCACATGGAACATATTCTAAGATTGACCACATAATTGGCCATAAATCAAGCATAAGCAAATTTAAAAGGACCAAAATTTTACCATCTACCTTCTTGGACCACAGTGAAATAAAAATAAACATTAACACCAACAAGCTCTCCCCAAAATCCACAAAGACATGGACACTAAACCGTATGATGCTAAGCAACTCCTGGATAAATGATGAAATCAAAACAGTGATCAAAAGATACCTGGATACAAATTAAAATGAAGAAACATTTACCAAAATCTCTGGGATGCCATGAAAGCTGTAGTAAGAGGGGAATTTATATCCCTACAAATGCACATGAAGAAAATGGAAGGATCACAAATTAACAGCCTAACAAGCCACCTAAGGAAGCTGGAAAAGCAAGACCACAAAAACCCTAATTTCAGCAGAAGAATCCAGATCACCAAAATAAAAGCCCAAATCCAGGACGTAGAAGACAAAAAGACAATACAAAAAGATCAATAAAACAAAAAGCTGGTTCTTTGAAAGGATAAACAAGATCGATGGTCCCCCAGCTAGACTGACCAAGAAAAAGAAAGAAAAAACCAAATAAGTACAATCAGAAACACAAAAGATGAAATCACATCTGACCCTGAAGAAATACAAAAGATCATTAGAGACTACTATGTACACTTCTTTGGAAACAAACTTGAAAACCTCAAGGAAATAGAGGACTATCTGTCATCACACAACCTGCCTAGGTTGAAACAAGAAAAAATTGAGACACTAAATAGACCAATAACAATCAAGGAAATTGACTACATAATAAGAAAATTACCTACCACAAAAAGCCTTGGACCAGATGGCTTTTCAGCAAAATTCTAAAAGACATTTAAGGAGGAGCTGATTCCAATTCTACTGAAGGTATTTCAGGCAGTTGAGAAAGATGGAACTCTCCCCAAATTATTTTATGAAGCTAACATCACATTGATACCCAAGCCAGGTAAAAATCCAACAAAGAAAGAGAACTACAGGCAATATCTTTGATGAACATAGATGCTAAAATTCTCAACAAGATCCTAGCAAACCGGATTCAACAACACATCTCAAAAATCATCCATCACGACCAAATAGGCTTCATCCCTGGGATGCAAGGCTGGTTCAACATTCATAAAACCATAGATGTAATTAAATGCATCAACAGGTGTCAAAAGAACAACCACATGATTATATCATTAAATGTAGAAAAAGCTTTTGATAAAATCCAGCACCCCTTCTTGATAAAAACCCTTGAACATCTAGGCATACGGGGAACATACATCAAAATAGTAAAAGCCATCTACGAGAAACCCACAGCCAGCATTCTCCTAAACGGACAAAAATTGGAGCCATTTCCCCTGAAAACTGGAACAAGACAAGGATGCCCACTCACACCCCTCCTGTTCAATATAGTATTGGAAGTTCTGGCTAGAGCAATCAGAGAAGAGAAGGCAATCAGAGGTATCCAAATAGGAAAAGAGGAAGTCAAATTATCTCTCTTTGCAGATGACATGATTGTGTACCTTGAAAACCCAAGAGAATCTGTCAAAAACCTCCTTACATTGATAAAGGCCTTTGGCAAAGTCTCAGGATATAAAATAAATGTGCAAAAGACAATTGCATTTCTTTATACCAATAATAAACAAACAGAATCCCAAATAAAAAGCACAATTCCATTCACAATAGCCACAAAAAAAATGAAATACCTTGGCATCTTCCTAACCAGAGATGTGAAAAACCTTGACAATGAAAACTACAAAACTCTGCTCAAAGAAATCAAAGGTAACACAAACAGGTGGAAAAATATCCTATGCTCATGGATTGGAAGAATCAACATTGTGAAGATGTCCATCTTACCTAAGGCAATCTACAGATTCAGTGCAATACCTATCAAATTACCAACAACATTCTTCTCAGTCCTAGAAAAAACAACACAGGAATTCATATGGAAACACAAACCTCCAAGAATAGCCAGAACAATCCTCGGCAAAAAAACAAAGCAGGTGGTATCACATTACCAGACTTCAAACTTTACTATAAAGCTACAATCATCAAAACAGCTTGGTATTGGTAAAGGAACAGGCATATAGGTCAATGGAATAGAATTGAGATTCCAGAAGCAAAACCTCAATTTCTCAACCAACTCATCTTTGACAAAACCTCCACCACCTAGCACTGCGGAGAGGAGAACCTATTCAGTAAATGGTGCTGGGAAAACTGGCTGACCACACACAGAAGATTGAAACAGGACCCCTATGTACCCATACACAAAAAATAACTCCAAATGGATCAGAGACCTAAATGTAAAACCTCAAACCATAAGAACCTTAGAAAATGAAGTATACACCCTCATGGAAATTGGAACTGGCATCCAATTCCTGAACAAATCCTGAAACCCACAGGCCATAAGGGATAAGATTGACAAGTGGAACCTTATTAAACTGACAAGCTTCTGCAAAGCCAAAGAAACCATCAAGAGAGCAGGGAGACAGCCCACAGACTGGGAAAAAGTATTTGCCAACTCTAGGCCTGATAAAGGCTTAACATCTTGGATCTACAAGGAACTCAAATGTGCTGAAAAGAAACAAACAAACAATCCCATTATAAAATGGGCAAAAGATATGAACAGATACTTCATAAAGGAAGACATTCGAGCAGCCAACAGACACATGAAGAAATGTTCAACCTCACTAATCATCAGGGAGATGCAAATCAAACCACACTGAGATACCACCTAACTCCAGTCAGAATGGCAATTATCAATAACTCAAAAAATAACAGTTGCTGGAGAGGGTGTGGCGAAAAGGGAACTCTTCTACACTGTTGGTGGGAGTGTAAACTAGTGCAACCTCTGTGGAAAGCAGTGTGGCGATTCCTAAAAGCTCTAAATATCAACCTCCCATATGACCCTGCAATCCCCCTCCTGGGAATATACCCTGAAGAACTCAAGTCACTCTCTCACAAAGATACCTACACATGAATGTTTATCGCAGCATTATTCACAATAACAAGAACTTGGAACCAACTATGCTGTCCATCAAAAGAGGACTGGATTTAAAAAATGGGACACTTATACACGGTGGAATACTATGCAGCCATAAAAAAGAACAAAATCATGAATTTCACAGAAACCTGGATGGAACTAGAGTCTATAATACTGTGACCTCTCACAGAAACAAAGGTCTGAGTATCACATGTTCTCACTCATATAGTGGACCTTGATCATCCAACGTACTACCATAAGAAAATGAGTGACAGTGGTGGGAAACTATAGGGGGGGAAGTGGATGGGACTAATGGTAGTAAACATCTGTCTGGGGACAGGGAGACGCCTCTTATCAACAAGGGGGCCTGAATGAAGCATATTTGTATACCTAACCTTTAACTGTACCCCACAATATCATAATAAAAAATATTGATTAAAAAAAGCAATATAATCTACAAATTTTTTTCTATTTTTAGACGCTTTTCACTTTCTTTACAGTGTTCTTTGAAGCACAAAATTTTTAATTTTGATGATGTACAATTTAAATATTTTTCCTTTATTCCCTTTGCTTTGGATATCAAATCTAAGAATCTACTGCAAAAAAGAAAAGAAAAGAAAATCTACTGCCAAATCCAAGATCATGGAGATTTACCCACTTGAAATTGCCAGGGTAGGGAGGGCACACCATATCAATAAGAGTACCCATGTAAGGAACATTTGTATACATAACCCTGAATTGTACCCCACATCTTTAAAATAGAAAACTTTAAAAAAAGATTTTCTCCTCAGATTTTAGATCTTAGACTATGTTTAGGTTTTTTAAAAAAATCCATTTGTGTTATATACAGTGTAAGGTAAGGGCAACTTTATTCTTTTGTATGTGACTATCCAGTTGTTTAAAAGACTAATTTTTCTACATTCAATGATCATAACACTTTTCTCAGAATTCGGTGGATTATATACATATGTGTTTATTTCTGAACTCTAAATTTCATTCCATTGACTATCATATATGTCCATCCTTGTGCCAGTACTACATCATCTTGATTACTAGAGCTTCGTGGTAAGTTTTGAAATTGAGAAATGTGAGCCCTACAATGTTATGTTTCCTGTTTTAAGGTTGCTTTGGCTATTCTGGGTTCCTTGAAAATCCATATAAATTATAAAATCAACCTGACAAGTTTTTACAAAGAAGCCAGCTAGTATTCTGATTTTTTTAAAATGCATCAAATATTCAGATCAATTTGAAGTGTGTTACCATTTCATAATATTGTTTTTGAATCCATAAACATTGGATTTTTTTCCATTTATCCAAATCCTCTTTAAATTATTTTCACAATGTTTTATAGTCTTCAGAGTATTAATTTTACAGTTTTGTTAAATTTATCTCTACGTGTTTTATTTTTTGTGATGGTATGGTCAATTTAACTTTTTAGATTTTACTTATGGATTGTTGCAATGTATAGAAATGCAATTTAATTTATGCATGCTGATTTTGTATCCTGAACCAATTCTGTACTTGTTGATTAGATCTCACAAGTGATGGAAGTCATAAGAGAGGTATCCTTTTCTCATTTCTAATCTTAAGGGGAAAGCTAATAAGCCATTAAGTATGGTGTTAACTATGGATTTCTTATAGATACCCTTTATCAGGTTAAGGAAATTCTCTTCAATTCCTAGTTTGTTGATTGTTCTTATCACAAAAGCATGTTGGATTTTGTCAAGTGCTTTCTCTGCATCTAATGAGGTGATTGTGTTTTTTGGTTTTGATTTATATGGTGTACTGCATAATCTATAATCCCTGGGGTAACCCCACTTGGCTTTGGTATATAATTTGTTTCATATGTTGCTGGATTTAGTTTGCTAATATTTTGTTGAGAAAATGTTTATCCATATTTATAAGGCATATTAGCCTGTAGCTTTCTTTTTCTCTGATATCTGTACCTGGTTAATATGAAGCAGAAGCCTGAATGTCTTACAGAATTTGGAAGTATTTCCTAATCTTTTATCTTTTGAAAGTGTTTGTGAAAAATTGGTATTAATTCTTCTTTTAATATCTGGTAGAATTCACCATTGAAACAATCTGGTCTTGAACTTTCCTTGTGGGTAGTTACTTATTAATTCTTACATCTCTTTATATGTTATAGTTTTATTCAAATTGCCTATTTCTTTATGAGTCATTTTCTGTTGTTTGTGTCTTTCTATGAATTTGTCCATTTCATTTATCTAATTTATACAACTGTTCTAATAACACAATTTGTGCTAAAATTCCACTTCTTTTTATTTTTAGATGTCAATAATAATTTCCCCTCTCATTTCTGAAGCTAACAATTTATCTCTTTTTAATGGTCAGTCTAACTAAAGAGCTGCCCATTTTGATGACATTTTCAAAGAATGAACATTTGATTTTATTGATTTTTCTCTATTTTATTTTGTCTTCTATGTCATTAAGCTTCACTTTAGTCTGTATTATTTTCTTCCTTCTGTTTGCTTTAGGTTTCATATACTCTTTTTTTTAGTGTTTTATAGTGTAAAAGTAGTGATATAAGCCAGACACAGAAAGATAAGTATTACATGTTCTCACTCATAGGTAGGAGCTCATCTTTCTTTCTTTTAACTTAGACATTATATTAATAAATTTCCCTCTGAACACTGCTTTTACTACATCCCATATGTTCTGGCATATCGTGCCTTCATTTTTGTTCATCACAAAACAATTTCTACTTTCCCTTTTGATTTCTTCTTTAACTTACTGGTTACTTAAAAGTGTATTGTTCAATTTCCACATATTTCTGAGTTTCCCAATTTTTTTTCTGTTAATGATTTCTAGCTTTATTCCATGGTAGTTAAAGAACATGTGCTGTGTTATTTCTCTCCTGACCACTATTCTGTAAATAGCATGATTAATTAAAGCAGCAGACCATGACCTTGTTTTTCCAAAGAGATTTTAGTACAATAGATTTAAAAACCGAAGAGATCAGATAAGCTAATCCTGTTTTTTTTTATCATTCCAAAGATGCAGAAGGGGCCACTGATCACACTGCTATAGTGTGTGGACATGCCCTTGTTCAGCTAGGGGTCTAGAAGGTGAAGAAAGGTCATAAAGGAAATGACCAGAAGTCTATTACTCTTCTCATTAGGAGAGAAAATTACAATTCCTTTCAGTAAATGTTGCATTTTTACCATGGTTGTCTTTTTTATTTTCCCTATAGTATTCCTTCCATTTCTTACTCCAATTTGTGAGGCATTAAACATCTCTTGCTTTCCAAAAGATGCTACAAATTTTTTTAAACAAGCCATAGAAAGGATAAAAGAAAGTCGCCTCAATGATAAACAAAAGGTAAAATCTGGTGGTGGCTACATAAGGGTGCTTTTTTGTTTTATAATTTGTTGTTGTTATAAATTATATATATATATATAATTTTTTGAGACATACAAACACACACACACACACGCAACCTGTGCATTTCTCTATATTTATTTACAGGAAAAACTTTAGGTTAGTTGAAAACAGGAGTTCTTTTACATTTTAGGGGAAGGAATAAGGTGAAGGTTGGGAAGGGAGATATGAGAATGAGTGAGAGAGACAGCATTTAAAATTTAATAACAGGCACAATTAGTATGTCATGGTATAAACATTATTGAGATGAAAATTTCACCACTTCCCTTTCCTTTTTCCCTTTAATGAATTGCCAAAGGATAAAAATTACTCCTGAAAAATTATTTTACTGATATTATAATTACTCCAGATCATAGATGTGGAAAGAATACTTTCAAACCCAAGCCTGTTATTTTACCCATTCTCCAATGAAAAGCCCTGGCCCGCAAACTGCTGGAGTGTAAAATATATTAAATTTCAGCATTCTCATGACCTTGAGTGGGCAAGGACATTCTCTGATCATTGAGGCTACAAGCGGGCTGACTCAGATTTGTCTCCATGAGACCTAAAGGCCAGTTCAAAGACATCTGCAGGTGGGGGAGGCAGGACTGGGTGACCAGATATCATTGATGATTAAATGGAATTCTGGAAGGTTAGAGTACTTGAAAATGCTTGCACAGAAGCTGCTAGTGAGCTATGAAAATGTCAAGAGATTAGTCTATGTGGTCATTGGTTAAGAATTAAAACAGAACAAGGAAGACTGAAATTCAGGACTTCCTCCTGAGCAAGCAGGTCTAACTGGAAAAGAGCCCATCAATTCTTTGGCCCCAAAGCTGTGCTCTAAAGCCACAGAAGCTGAGGATCAGGGATGAAGATCAAAAAGCAGTTGGACACAATAGCTGGATTTCTCTCAGAAAAATATCCTGCTGGTCAAGGTTTCTGATGGATAGTTTTGTTCACTAATGACTCAGGCAACACCTGTCAGACTTCTAGACGAAAAGGGAGTATATGCTCAGAATGGAGGTTGAATGCTACACTCCTACTTATGACTTCACGAATGATTTTATGTCATTGAAATTTCACTTTCTACTTCCAGCACCGAGTAGATTTCCTTCAGCTGCTGATTGACACCCAGAATTCCAAAGAAACAGAATCTTGTAAAGGTAACCAAGGAGGTTTTTTGGGGGCTACTGATGGGTAAGATAAGAGGGAGGGGCTTGTTCTGGAAATACGCAGGAAGCTTTCCACGAAGATAAGAATTTCTGTCGCACTGCAGAATGGCAGTTGTTTGGACCTTATAAACGGCAGCTGGAGTTTCTCTCTAGAAGCAACATAGGCATGGTCATATTCAAAGCTTGACACGCCACCCCAAGCAAGCGTGTCTTGACTGGACTTCAGTCAGTGGTCTGACTGATCACTGACAGCAGAAAAAAATACTGAATCTCATCATCCTCCTGATCCACTAGCTCAGAACCTCTGCCTCAAATGTCAAATCAGGAGACACACTGTCCCAAAAATGGTGATTTTAACTGGAAATACTTGTTGAAAGTGTGTTCACTAACTTAATCTACTGTAAAGTTTTATTTTTCTCTGCAGTTAATTAGCAATTTGGGAGAGAAGACTTTAAAATGTGTAAATATTCTCTTCCTGTTTAATCGTTCACCTACTAGTTTTATCATCCACTGATGGTTTTTGACTGAGGCCATTATTGCTACGATGATTGCAAAATAATGACTTTCTAGTTACATCATTCCTTCACATTTATGGATTGGTATTTCATTTTAAGGGAGAGTGCTCCATTCTTCCCTATTCATTCATTTATTTATTTCAGTGGGATCTTATATATCAACAATTTATTCTTCTATTATTATTATTATTTATTTTGATCAAATTTTCTCAGGTTTGAATGAGTTCCTGGGTCCTTTCTTCTTCTTCTATTTATTTTTTTACAACAGAGATTATTTATTAGAACAGTTTTGGTTTCATAGAAATATTTAGCCAAATATACTAAAGGTTTCCCATATGCTCTTTTCCCCTATATACATACAACCTCTCCCACTATCAACTTCTCCCACCAGAGTGGTATATTTGTTGCTACTTGTGAATCTACATTTATGCATTAGTATCACCCAAACTCCATAGTTTGCATTAGAGTTTATCCTTGGCAATATATGAGTTTTAGAAATACATAATGACATGCATTCACCATTATAACAACATATAGGGTATCCTGTATCCTTTTGCTTATCATTTTCTTGAGTACTTTCTTGCTTTCAGGTGCAAGTTATTCCAAGTTTCTCTTCTATTTTCTCTGACCATGCAAAAAATCATCCATATTTCCAAAGAGCTCTACTCTTAGTGAGAAAATTGTATTCGGAAATCAAAATCTGGGAGCTAGGTGTGGTCATTGATACTGGGGTTTATTTGCTTTTAAATCCTGTCTGTGGACAAAACTAAGGAAATAAAATATGTTTATGCAGACTGAGAAATGTGATTTTTAGCCTTCTTCTGGAACATAAACACTCCTACCATGGTCAATTTCAGTTACCAATGATATGTCAACCATCTCACAAAATTCCTGAAGATGTAACAATTTGTTCTAGACACCAGGGATGAACTAACTCCAGCATAGCAATATACATATATCTATGTCTACAACGATTTCTATCCATCTATCTATCATCTATCTATCTGTCCCAATACAATCTTCTGTGATAAAGGAAATAGTCTCTCATTTCACCATTCAGTGCAGTAACCTCTAGATATAGGTGGCTGTTGAGTGGCAGACATGTTATTAGTGCCACTGAAGAATAATTTTAAATTATATACAATTTTAATTAATTAAAATTTGAATTTAAATAGGCACATGGTTGCTAGTGGTTATTGTATTGGACAGCAGAGTGCTAAACTTTGAGATTATAGTCCATTTCCAACTCAATATCATGGGGCTCATGGTGAATGAAAAGAACAGTTGGGGAATTAAATTTACACACAGCAGCATCACAGTAACCATCACTCATAAACTATAACTCTGTAAACCTTTTCCGCATTCAATTCATGTCATTTTTGGTTATGAGTTTCATGGTTGAGGTGGGCACCATATTTATTTCAGGGGCCTAGGTATATAAAGGTCCGAGTCTAGTCCTGATCAAACAAACTAATGCCTGGCCATGCTTAGCTTCTCACAGGAGAAAACCAAGAGGGAGGGCAACTTGTAATCATAAGGTCTCCTCTATTATAATGCCATTCATCAGACAAGAATCTATCAACAGTCTCCTAGCTTTTTACTATCTCCATAGTTTCTGTACATCCTGAAATAGTCCATTTAGCAAAACTGAATTCTAGATCTTCAATTACCTGATTCCTTTCAAATATATAATCCATGCTTTCTCAAACTAGGCTGTGCACACAAACCACCACAGCTCATGAGAGTTCAGGTTTTAAAACTTTTTTTTTTAAGAGACAGAGTTTCACTCTGTCACCCAGGCTGGAGTGCAGTGGCATGCTCCCAGCCACCGCTACTTCGACTTGCTGGGCCTGGTGATCCTTCCACTTCAGCCTTCCAAGTAGCTCAAACTACAGACACGTGCTGCCACACCCAGATTATTTTTTTATTTTTTTGTAAAGACAAGGTCTTACTATGTTGCTCAAAACAAAGCTTTTATAGAAAAATGTTAAAGAAGATAGTGTATCTCCCCTCTTTTCTATCAATTCTAATCTGGTGGCATTCTGTCAATTTTTTTTTGAGTTGGAGTTTCACTCCATCGCCCAGACTGGAGTACAGTGGCCACTCCCAGCCACAGCAGCCTCGACCCGCTGGGCTCCGGCGATCCTTCCGCCTCAGCCATCCAAGTAGCCAGAATTACAGGCATGTGCTACCACGCCTGGCTGATTTTTGATTTATTGTAGGGATGAGGTCTCACCAAGTTGCCCAGGCGGGTCATTCTGTCAATTTTAATCTGGTGGCATTCCATAAGTCATCAGATTTCTCTTCTTGAAAAAATGTAAGACCTGTGAAGGTACAGCAGCTGTCTTAAGTGATAATATCTATGGAAAATTGACTGGATTAGCCAAGCAGCATCCAAAGAAGTATGCATATCACTATGGTTACCTCCCATTTATAGCCTAGTCTCTTGGTAGGGTACTGATCAGGTCTGCCAAAGAGGATAAATCAATTCATTCCAATTAGGCTTGATGACTTTACCACTTGCACTTTGAGAATCTGACTGGAATCACTTTGAAAAGAGATCATCTCTCTTCTCCTCTCTATTTAAACAGAAGCCTCTGTCAGAAGTGGATGGAAAATTTGTTTTGGCAGCCAAGTCAGAGGTAATTGTGCAGGGTTGAATGCTCACAATTTTGCAGGCTTTGCCATAGAGACACAGGCAGCCAGACTCAAGTGAATACATCAGAGCATTCAAGCAAACTGCAGCCCTGACCCCTAGACTGGCTTCAGCCAAAAGGTCTCCTGCTTGGATTCTCCTTGAGCCCAGATGGACCACATTTGTCCACATATACATTTCTGAATGGGAGAAGACAGACAAGTACTGAAGGAAAACTGTAATTAAATCTGGTTCTTCCCCTTCACATCTGTGTAGTTTGGCAATCCAGTCTTTATAATCCACTCCAGAGGCTTCCAGGCAAGGCCAGAGAGAGGAGATTCAAGCAGAAAGGAAGCTGTTCCTTACACCCAGGGCTGGAGCAGCTCTCAAGTCCAGGACAAGTAAACTCTCACTGCATGTCTGCCAGCCGCCAGGCCCCCAGAACAAAGATAATGGTCAGGTTCAATTTTAAAAAGATGGGGAACAATTATAATGCTAAAAGAAAGCGATTGGCAGTAGTGGAAAACTATCAGGGGAGGGAGGGGTGGGACTGGCAGTTGAGGGAAACTGCTAGGGGAGGGAGGGGCATACCTCATCAACAAGGGTACCTGCATGATCAGTGTTTATATACCTAACCCTGAATTGCACCCCACATCTTTAGAATAAATAAACAAATTTAAAAGATGGGAAAAAAAAGAAAGTTCAGGTTTTGATTTGTTAGTTTGAGAACAGGGTTTGGGATTCCACATCTCTAACAAACTCCCAGACACCCATGATGCTACTGGTCCAAGGACTACTCTTTGAGGAGCAAGAGTTTATCTGTAGCCCAATATCATTCCCTTAAGTTCCCTGTATCTGTAGCCCAATATCATTCCCTTAAGATAGGAAAGATCTTTAATTTTTTTCTACAGTTAAGCCTTAGCATGGCAAACTCTCTCACAGTTTGCCAAGCTACATCATAGCTAGAAAAATTTAAATATTTCCTGGGGAGAATGCTAGCCCATATCTTACCCATAGCTAAAGCACTCTCATGACCATTCAAAGGCCAGGCCCATGACACTGAGTATGTGTAGACAGAACATCTTCTCTGGATATTACCTGGCTGTGCTGGAGTGAGGATGGTGTGATGAGGGACAAATGTCCCACAATCCTCTAGGCCTTGAGAAACACTGGATTGAAACAATTTTGCCTTTTTCTAGCTCGACAAGTTTGGATATCAGAGTGAAAACACCACCAGTATGACTCTGAAATACTTTAATGTTTCATTTCTTAGGGATTCGGGAACTTCATGTGGATTACTAAGCACCTAAACTGTATTGTTCTACACTGACCTGCTTTGCCTAAATTGTCTTTCCTTTTCTTTCAGTTCTGTCTGATCTGGAGGTCATGGCCCAATCAATTATCATTATTTTGGGTGCCTATGAGACCACTACCATTGCTTTTTCCTTCATTATATATGAACTAACCACTCACCCTGATGTCCAGAAGAAACTACAAGAGGAGATTGATGCACTTTTTCCCAATAAGGTGAGTGAATGATCCCTGGAGAGGGAGAGAGGAAGTGAGACCTTCGCAAGAACGTCTCCTCACCACTTCTCAGGGGAATTTTTGCAAATAAGTGTAAACATCAACTCTTTCACCAACACTATGTAAGAAGACTCCAGAATGAAATACAAAGGGAGAAAACATAGATAATGAATGCTTCTCGCAGAACTATAAGATCCTCATAAAACAGGATGCATGCTGTTCTCATGCATCCATTATCTGTTACCACAATAATACTAAGTAAAAAAAAATCCAGAAAACCTCAGTGGCATCTAACAATAAACATTTATTGCTCAAGTGTCTGGGTAGTTAGCTTTGCTGATATTGGCTGGACTTACTCTGGTATGGTCATTTTCTAATCAAACCTGGCCTTGAGTACACTGGGTAGGATGACTCGGCTTTGTTCCACCACTGTCTCAGGCTTGTCATGCAGCTAATGGTACATAAGCCATGCAAGGAAACAGGATGTCTGACTCCTGGACCAAACTCTTAACCTCTACAATATCACCTCCCAAACATATCATCAAATGCTAGCTACATATCACTCACACTATTTTGGGATTTCTGTCTAAACTGGAATTTTTTGTGGTGTGAAGAGATGGCCTCTGGGGCTGACCCTGGTTTGGCAGTGAGGAGTACACAAAGAGATCTTCAGAGTCTAAAGTCAAGCCCTGAAGCAACAAGTAGGAGACTGTTCCAGCAATAAAGAAAGGGACTGAGTATGGGGTTTCTATCTTCCTCATAACTTTCACTAGAACTGAAATTGTGTGCCCCGGTATCCTCTAATCATAAATTTCCTTTACCATATTTAGGATTAGAAGAAGCTAGTTTATCCACAAATTATTTATAGAGCCTTTACATAATTTAGTGTTTCTCTACACAATATATTTAGATAGATAGACAAATAGATGATAGATAGATAGATAGATAGATAGATAGATAGATAGACAGATAGATATATGAGAGAGAGAGATACTAAGCAAAATTTTCAAATAAAAAACTTTATGTGGAAGAGGGGATTTGCTCTTTTACATGTTTTCTTCCCTAGATACAGACATATGGCCTCTCTTTTGGAAGGTGTCAGTGACTTTGGCAAAGTTTACTTGATTCTAATGGTCATAATCTATTAGTCACATTTGTTCACATGAGAAAGAAAAAAACCACCTGTTAATGCTAAGTATTACACTCCCTGGGGAGGGAATTGTTCCAAATTCTTCCAAATTTATAACTCCTCCAGACATCTCAGTGGACCACTGAAAAGATCAAAAGACATAATAGCTATTAAACTGCCTTATAAATGCTAAGATCCTTTACCAATATGGGTTATTCTCTGGAGCTCCTAATACTTCAGGAGTACTGCACGACTGGGTTGGATGTTAATTCCAAATCTCAATTTATCCCAACCTGTTTCTTTCCTCCCAGGTACGTGCCATCTACAATGCCCTAGGACAGATGGAATACCTTGACACGGTGGTGAATGAAGCTTTCAGGTTGCACCCAGTTGCAGTCAGAGTTGAGAGGGTCTGTAAGAAAGATATTGAAATCAATGGAGTGTTCATTCCCAAAGGGGTAGTGGTGATGTTGCCAATCTATGCTCTTCATCGAGTCCCACAGTACTGGACAGAGCCTGAGGAGTTCCGCCTTGAAAGGTACAAGACCCTGGAAAGTTCATCCTAAACTAGGGTTGTTCAAGCATATTTTGACATCAATTAATGTACTTAACAGTCATGTGATTGAACCATCATTTGTTTGCAAGTTTTTTTTTTATTTTTAGGAATTTTTTAAATTACAAAAGTGATATCTGTCAAAACTTACAAACTGTAGACTAGGTAAAAGAAATTATAACCATCCATAGCTCTCACTCCTTAAGAGTTATTAATGTGATGTATGTTCTTATGGACATTTTCTGTGCATACATAGATTTTTATGTTTTTTTATTAACATGTCATATTGTATATATTTATGGGGTACACCTTAAGCCTATAGTGTTTCTTTGTTGTAAGGACATTCAAAATTCTCTCTTCTAGCTATTTGAAATACATAAAGCATCATTTTTAGCTATAGTCACCCAAATGTATAATACAATACCAGAACTTATACCTTCTTTCTAATTTTATACCTGCTGACCAACCTTTTCCCATTTCCCCTACTCCCATTTTCTTTAGTATCTGATAATTATCATTCTACTCTAAAATTCTATGAGCTCACCAGAATTTATTCCATCAATCTAGCTGTAATTTTGTATCTCTTAACCAATCTGTGGCTATCCCCATCTCTACCCTGCCCTTCCGAGCTTGTAGGAATCACTTTTCTACTATTTCTAGGATATCTACTATTTTAACTTTCACATATGTGTGAGAATGTGCAATACTTGCCTTTCTGTGCCTGACTCATTTTACTTAACATAATGTCTTCCAAACTCACCTATGTTGCTGCAAATGAGAAATTTTGTTCTTTTTATGCCTAAGTAGTATTCTATTTTTACTACTGTATTCTACATTTTCTTTATTCATTCATCTATTGATGGACTCTTAGACTGATTTCATGTTTTGATTATTGTGAACAGTGCTGCAGTAAACATGGGAGTGCAAATGTCTCTTTGACATACTGATTTCCTTTCCTTTGAGTATATACTCAGCAGTGGGATTGCTAGATAATATAGAAGTTCTATTTTTAGTTTTTTGAGGAACATTCAGACTGTTTTTATAATGGTTTCACTAATTTACATTTCTACCAAGAGTAAACAGGAGTTTCTCTTTTTCTGCACTCTCGCCAGCATTTGTTTTGTTTATTTTTTTGCTTTGTCATTCTGATAATGACTATTTTAACTGGGGTGAAATGATATATCTTTGTGGTTTAATTGGGATTTTTCTGATGAGTAATGATGTAGAGTATTTTCTCATATACTTATTAGCCATTTGTATGTCTTCTTTTGAGAGATGTCTAGTTAGATCACTTGCCCATTTTTAAATCATATTACTTGATTTTTTAAACTTGAGTTATTTGAGTTCCTTGTGTATTCTGAATATTAATTTCTTGTTCAATAAATAATTTCCAAATATTTTCTCCTATTCTTCTAGCTCTCTCTTCACTGTGCTGGTAGTTTCCTTTGCTATGTGGAAGATTTTTAGGTTGCATTAATTCCATTTGTCTTTTACTTTGGTTTTCTGTGCTTTTGAAGTATTCTCTATAAAATCTTTGCCCACACCAATGTCCTAAACCTGAAGTATTTCTCCTATGTTTTCTTCCTATAATTTCAAAGGTACAGGCCTCACCATTTTAAATATTTTATTGTATTGTATTTTACTTTATTATAGAGATGTAGGTTACAAGTAAGGATTAGCTACAAGTAGGCTGCGTGCAATTGAAGTTTAGGCCTCCAACTAGTCCTCACTTCCCCTGGTTTACGATCAAGTACTCTTTGTGTTGTTATGTACATGCCCTGGGAGTGTGCAGTGACTGCCAATCCCTCCCTTGCACTAATGTGATTAAAGTTCAGGTCTCACTTATGAGTGAGAACATGTGGTATTCAGTTCTTCGTTTCTGTAACAGATCACTAAGTATGATGGTCTCCAACTCCATCCAATTTGCTGTGAATTCCATGGTTTTGTTCTTCTTTATGACTGTGTAATACTCCATTGTATATATGTACCACATTTTTTTCATCCAGTCCACTTTTGATGAACAGTAGAGTTGGTTCCATGTGTTTTGCTAGTGTGAATAGTGCAGCTATAAACATATTGTGCAGCTGTTTTTTTGGTAGAATGATTTATGTTCCTCCAGGTATGTTCCCAGGAGAGGTATTGCTGGATTGAATAGAAGGTCAAATTTTAGTTTTAATAATCACCACACTGCTTCCCATAGAGGATGAACTAGTCTGTACTCCAACCAACAGTGTAGAAGTGTTTTTTTTTTCTCCACAGCCTCACCAGCATCTGTGGTTTTTTTTATTTATTAGTGATGGCCGTCCTTACTAGAGTGAGGTGGTATCTCATTGTAGTTTTTATTGGAATTTCTCTGATGATTAGTGAGACTGAGCATTTTTTCATGTGTCTATTGACTGCTCATATCTCTCCTTTTGAAACGTATCTATTCATGTCCTTTGCCCACTTCCCAATAGGGTTGTTTGTTTTTCCCTTTCAGCTTGTTTGCATTCCTTGTAGATTCTGGATGATAGGTCTTTGTCAGATACAAAATTAGCAAACAACTTTTCCTATTCTGTTGGTTGTCTCTCTGCTCATTTGATGGTTTCTTCTGCTGTGCGAAAGTTTTTCTGTTTGATAAGGTCCCACTTGCCTATTTTGCCTTTTATGGCATTCACTTTCAAGGATTTGATCAAGAATTGGTTGCCTACTCCATGTGCATAAGGATGTTTCCTACATTTTCTTCTAGGATTCTTATAGTTTGAGGTTTTATGTTTAGTTTTTTGATCCATTTTGAGTTGGTTTTTGTATATGGCAATGAGTATGGTCCAGATTTATTCTTCTGCATGTGGTCAGCCATTTTTCCCAGAATAATTTGCTAAATATGGTTTTATTTCCCCAGTGGTTGTTACTAGTGGCTTTGTCAAAGATGAGTTGGCTGAGAGATTGAGATTTTGCATCCATAATCTCTGTCCTGTTCCATTGGTCTGTGTACTTATTCTTGTACCAAAACCAGGATGTTTACTGTAGCCTTGTAGTAAAGCTTAAAGTCTGGAAGTGTGATACCTCCCACTTTTTTTCCTTTTGCCAAGGATTGTTTTTGATACTTGTGCTATTCTTTGTTTCATATGAATTTCTGATTGTCATGTCCAGGTCTGAGAAAAATTATGCTGGTAATTTGATGGATATTTCATTGAATCTGTAGATTGCCTTGAGTAGGATGGACACCTTGACAATATTTATTCTTCCAATCCAAGAGCATGGAATGTTTTTCCATTTGTTTGTGTCATCCTTGATTTCTTTGAGAAGCATTTTGTAGTTCTCATTGTAAAGGTCTTTTACTCCTGTGGTTAGGTGGGTGCCAAGGTATTTCACTTTTTTATGGCTTTTGTGAATGGGATTGTGTTTTTTATTTGGCACTCTGTGTGCTTGTAGTTGGTGCATAGAAATACAACTATCTTTTGCATATTGATTTTGCACTGTGAGGCTTTACCAAAATCAATTATGAGTGTGAAGAGGGTTTTGACAGAGTATCTAGGGTTTTCAAGATATGGAATCATGTCATCTGCAAAGAGGGATAACTTAACTCCCTCTTTTTCCATTGGATATCCCTGATTTCTTTCTCTTGCCTGATTGCTCTAGCAAGGACTTACAACATTATGTTGAACAGGAGGGAGAAGCATGGTCATCCTTGTCTAATTCCCATTTTCAGGAAGAATGCTTCCAATTTCTGTTCATTGAGCAGTATTTTGGTTGTAGGTTTATCATAGAAGGTTCTTGTTATTTTGAAAATGTACCTTCTATGCCTAGGTACTCAAGAGTTTTTATTCAAGAAGGAATGCTGGATTTTGTCAAATGCTTTTTCTGCATCTAATATAATCATGAGGTTCTTTTTATCATCTTTTTGTGTCCTTATTATGTTTATGATCTTGGGAATATTGAACTCTCCCTGCATCCCAGAAATGAAGCCCACCTGGTCATGGTGAATGATGCTTGAGACGTGTTGCTGGATCCGATTTGATAGAATACTGTAGAAAATTTTTGCATCTGTATTCATCAAGGAGATTGGTCTGTAATTCTCTTTCCTTGTTGGGTCTTTGCCAGGTTTGGATATCAATATAGTGTTGGCTTCATAAAATGAGTTGGGAAGTATTCCATCTTTCTCTATTGTCTAGAATACTTTCAGAAAGATTGGTATCACTACTTCTTGTGTGTCTTGTAGAATTCAACTGGAAAGCCATCAGGTCAAGGACTTTTTTTGGTATTTAGATTTTTTATGACCGAGTTGATTTCCTGGATTGCTATTAGTCTGCTTAGAATTTCAGTTTTTTCCTGTTTCCACCTGGGGAGGTTATGTGATGTCAATAAGTGCTCCATTTCCTTTAGGTTTTCTAGTTTATTTGCATACAGGTTTTTTGTAGTAATCTCTGATAATCTTTTGAATATCTTTAGGTTCAGTTATAACTTCACCTTTTGCATTTCTAATTGTGTTTATCTGGGTTTTCTCTCTCTTTTTTTTATCAACCTGGCCAGGGGACAATCTTTTTTTTTTTTTTGAGTTGGAGTCTCACTCAGTCACCTAGGCTTGAGTGCAGGGCACATTCATGGTCACCCTAGCATCGACCTACTGGGCTCAGGCAATCCTTCTGCCTGAGCCATCCAAGTAGATGGAACTACAGGCATGCACTACCATGCCCAGTTAATTTTTTTTATTATGATGATTTGTTGTAGCGACAAGGTCTCACCAAGTTGTCTGGGCTGTTCTTGAACCCATGGGCTCAGGCTATCCATTTGCCTCAGTCTCCCAATGTGCTGGAATTACAGACTGAGCCACTGAGCCCAGGTGGGACCATCAATCTTATTTATCTTTGCAAAGAACCAGTTTTTGGTCTTGCTGATTCTTTCTATGATATTTCACCATCTATGTCCTGTAACTCTGGTTTTATCTTGGTGATATGGATTCTTCTGCTAAGGTTAGGAGGCAAGTGATCTTGCCTTTCCAGCTC